TAGTATCTTCCAAAACTACCCCTATGGTAGCTTACTAGTAATATAACTGGTACGTATGAACATGGGCGTATACCCTTGCTACCCAATGGTATTGAATGAACTGGAAGAACCTTTATGACTATATATGTACACATGATATATAACTAATATTTAAACGACCTTCGAACGGGTACTCGATATCCTACCAGACCACATCTCAAGCGCGAAAAGGAAATAGGGTGGATAGCCTTCCTAAGTCTTTTAAACATTCCTCATATAAATATACATATATAGGCATGCAATTTATAATATAAAAGCATAAAGTAAGTTTTGTAAAACCTTTGAGCATAATTATTATCTAAGAAAAGATCGACTTGATGCCAATCTATAAAACGGTTTGAAAGCATGGGTTTGATAAAACAGTTTAATTATAAAGGAACATTTGTTTGAAACACAAATTGTAAATGAGTTTGAAATGAAGCGTACAGAGTAAAATGTACAACTTAATAAGGAGTTTTAATCATATAATGTTTATGAAAATCATTTGAAGGAAACTGTTTGGTAAAATGGCTAATGAGTAGCCAATCATTTGAATGTTGCTTACTAATCACATGTGATTGATATAGTAACTTGCATGATTCTACTTGTATCCCCCCCCCCCAAATAAAATATTTAAAAACAGTTAAAACATTGATTAAGGGTATGAACTCACCTGCTGTGGGTGATACGGATGAACTGAAGAGGTAGGACTGCTAGGTGTCAAGTGAAGACTTTAGACACACACAATGGTCCTAATTACATATGAAGACATATGTATATAAACAATTAGTGATTATAACACTAATTAAACATGTATAAACATCCTAATACGAGGAAAACACTTTTGGTCAAGTGCTAGGAGGCTAATGGGTTGCAACAAAGGAGTGCAAGACCTCTTATGGGAGCTTATGGTCAAAAGACCATATGTGTTGGAGTTTATGGCCCAGGGGAGTAAAATCTTGGCCGTAAACTCTATATTGGGTCTCTAAATGAAGCTAAAAGCTATTACAACTTAAGTGGTGAAGTGCTTCTAGGCTTAAACAAGTGTTTGGGCTTCTTTTTAACTCCTTTGAGGAGTTTACGGCCCTGGGACCATATCCCTTGGATATTACAGCCGTAATCCCCTTGGGAGGATGTTTATGGTGTTTTCAAGTCCCTAAATTAACTAGGAACTAAACTAGGCTCTTGTACTAGGCATTAGAAGAGTTTATGGCACCATTTGGCACCATTTTATGGAGTTCACGGCCCTGGGACTTCTTGGGTCATGAACACCTTACTCTTGGTGTTCTAAGTGTGTTTGCTAGTCCTAAACTCATTTAGGTACATGTCCAATTTAGTCTATTGGCTTAAGGAAGGCTTTTGAGGCATTTTGACACTTAAAAATGGAGTTCACGGCCCAAGAAATTCCTTGGCCGTGAACTCACATCTAGCCATTGTTTCTAATTATTTTGGTGGTCTAAACATGTAATGGTACTCCCTATGTTGAGTTCCAAGGCTTTGAGGGACATTGGGCACACTTTTGGCCCTTAAAATGGAGTTTACTCTCCAAGTGTTCTTGGGCGGTAAACTCCCAAATCTTGGGGTTTTGATTCGATTTTGATGTTATAAACTACAATCTAAGCTATATAATATAACTAGATAGAAGTACTCACGATTTGGGATAAAAACCCGAAGATCCGTGAGAGAGAATTCGGCTTTTCTCTAGTTGGAAATGCAACTAATGAATGAATATGGTTCAGATTTCTATATATAGTCCTGAGATTTTTGGCAAAAAATATTTTATTCCCGAAATTAACTCTAATATCATAGAGTATTGGAATAAAAGTGTTGCACAAAACCCTAGTGCAACCACTCTCCTGATATCTCCTTAAGTGTTAGACCTGAAATACTCAAACTTATACCTAAAGTCTGGAATTTCTCTGTAACTGTTCCAACTTCTATTGGCTTGGTATGGTTTGTTCAGAATGGAAATTTTGGGTTGTCACAGACATATACCGGAAAGATCTCCATCGCCGCCACCTGTTCTAGACGAAAATTTAACTCTCATGTAACATATCAGATCTCTGGACATCACTATGACCATTCTCGTCGGACATGTCACTATTCTTATCGGTGCTTTTGAAGATTTCTAGATCTCGTTTGCAGATATAACCTCCATCACCAGTTCACCACCATCTAAAAAAACCTAACCATAACATCGTCTGAAAGCCTTTCCCTATAACAAATCTGAATGCTCAGATCTAAAACCCTCGAACCAGACGACATTTTCCGGTGAAGGCAACGAAGGTGGAAGGGGTAGAACTCTGGAGAAGGCGAAGGCAAGGAGTCTGTCTGGAGGTTTCTATTGGAGTTAAGTTTCAGATGGGTCGGTTTTCCGGTTAATCTTGGCGATGATGGTGGTTTTCTGGACCCTAGCTGGATCTGCCCACTTGTCCAAATCTAACATTCATCTTCTCTGACGATCATACTAGCAGAAGAGGGAGACAAATAGACAGAGAAAATTTTGGTGTCGCTTTCATCGAAGTTCGACAGACTCCAGCTATAAGGTGTAGCCTTATTGGTCCAGATAGGAGATGAGTTTCATCAGGTTAACGAAATGAAAGATGTGGGGTGAGGTTGGGGGAGATGAAGGTGGTTGTCGACAAATGATGTGGCGGCGGATGGTGATGGCAGGCGGAGATGGAGTTGTTCTTCATATTTTAATCATTTTATGTATGTGTTCTTTGATAGTATGTGTATATGTGTGTGTTTTGGAAAAGAGATAGAAAGAAAAGGTAGTCGGGGGAGAGAGAGAGAGAGAGAGAGAGAGAGGGCCCCACTTTTTTAATTTCAAATTAACAAATATTAAAAATAAATAAATAAATAAAAACAAATGGCATTTTCATCTTTTCATACATACTTAACAGAATCTGTAAACAAAGTTAGTCATAAGGATCATTTGTGTGCAAAGTTTGCTCTGTAGATACTATTTGAAGGAAAAAGTTTCATAAATAGTACTTTAGGAAAGAAAAAAAAAAAAAAAAAAAAAAAAAAAACTTAAGGATCATTCGTGTAATTTGTTCAAAAAAATAATTAGGTTTCCTACAAAGTAAAAAGAAGTAAAAATAAACCAACTTATTAAAAAAAAAAAAATGTATTTAAATATGAAAATGTTTATAATCTTTACCTATCCAAACACTAAAATGTGCTTATTATCAATGTCAAACCATTATAAACTCATAGTTTAAACAAGCAATCACAAACACCCGCTAGATAGGTACGTGGTAGAGTATCGGTTGAATGTATTGGTATTAACAATAATGATATGAAAAGATGGACCAAAACATCCTAATAGACTTGAATAATCCATGAACCAAATACTGGCTATTGATCCACTTATATTCTAATTAACATGTATAAAAATATGCGTTAAATTATTTGAATATAAGCTTTTTTTGGACTGGTATATTTGGAATATTCTAATTAACATCTATAAAATTATGCGTTAAATTATTTAGATATAAGCTTTTTTTGGACTGCTATATTTGGAGTCTCACATTTAGTTTATAAGCTGTCTATTTTACCGATCTCATTTTTACGTCATACAGTTAACTTGGCTGGGCATTTTGTCGAACAGTTTATGGGCACTATCAGGCTGGCCGTCTTCTCTGACCATTTTCACCAAGATTATGCCCGTTTTCCAGCCATAAATTCTTACCAAGTTGTCGAACAAGATTTTCGACTCCCATTTCCACCGGTGACGTCTCCATGGGTAGGTGGGGTCAAACCCAAATAGCTGAGGGATCAATTCTGAAAATTCAATCCACTACGTGTCAGATACTGTCACTTGATTAAAAAACTCCAAACCTCCATGCAGGCCGCCACGTACCCCTACTCATAACTCACCAGCCACCACCTCCTTCTCTTTCTTCTCTACGTGATACAACTGCAACCAATCGCTCTGGTAGCAGAACTCGATTCAGTTTCTCTCTTTCAATTCAGTCGAAAAATGGTGAAGCTGGCGACGGCGCGTGAGTGCAGAATGTACGGGCCACGGCTGAGCCGGAACAGAGCGGAGTATATGAACGCCGGAGTTTACGTGTTCTCAGCGCTTATATTGATATGTGGATTCGCTGCGCTGCTTTTGAGGCAACCAATATTAGGGTCAGTTTTACTGATGATAGGATTAACATGTATAATAGTGGTGAACGTACACGATCTAATCGCACATCTCGCCGGAATCGATTACAGAATCGGACTAATGGAACTCGATATTCAACTTCCGTTGGTGGAGATCGCCGTACCGGTGGTTCAGACCTTGGGAGCGATTCTCTTCTTTTTAGCCCTTCTTTTTCTCCTCATCCAAGTAAGATAAATCATAAATAATTATATCAACTTACACAATAATCACAAAGTAATTACACTTTTTAATTGTTAGGAGGATAAAGGAGAGGATCACGCGATGAACATGATTATCGCCGGAGCTGTGCTATGGGTGATTGGTTCGATCCTAAATTCATGCCAGATCTACGAGAGAGCCGACGGACATGTCCAAATCCTGCAACAAAGTGTCCAGATCCCGTTTTTAACCGGAAGCTTCTTGTTCATGGTGGCAGCCATTCTTAACAGCCGTGAGCATGAGCAAGCCGGAATGTTACGTCATGGTCTGATTCTACTGGTACGTGTCAACAGAACTTCGCCGGAAATGGTGGCTGGTGGCTGACTTTTTTTTTTTTTTTTTTTTTTTTTTTTTTGCAGACAAGGACGTGGATATGGATGGGTACGTTCGCAAGTTTTTTGTTGTTGATTGGTGGATTAGCGAATGTGGTTAAAGTGTTCAAGATGCTTCAGATGGATAGGTTAAGGTTGGAGAAATTACGAGGTGGAGCACAAGAACGACTTATGAGAATACGTGAAGGGCAAACGCCGTTTCTTACAGAAGAACGGAGAAAGTGGCCAAGGGCGATGGAAGCCACCACAGAACAACCGGAAGCGCCGCCAGTTCCTACAACTCCATACAAGGATGTTCTTGTTGGTAACGCCTGAACAGTAATTCTTCCCCTTCTGTCTTAGTCTTACTTGATATGCAAAGCTTCGTTTTAATCATGTATTTTTTTGTACTTCTTTCATATATAAACAGACTATTAAGTACCTAAAAACGACTGTTAGAATAATGTCTCAAAATTTGCTCAAGTTTACAGTGTGTTGGTGTTTATTGTCAAAAGTCAAAACTGAAATTTTTCTATAATAAAAAAATAGAATCATAGCTAGGCAAATGACTTGTAGGAATCTCTAGGTGAAAAAAACCAACACAAACAAAACGATAAACAGAACTATCAAGAACAAGATCATCATCATTTGTCCCTTCGCACTAGCCTTCTTCATCACTACCGCCACTTTTTTCTGCAAAGAATAGAAGAATGTAAACCAAAATAGAATGACAAGGGCAGTTACGTCTTTTTCATTTTAGATAAACCAATACAAGCTGTTAGGTTATGTCATGTTAACCTGGACAAAATCAAGACGATTGGATGTACTATCCATCTCGGAACCCAATTCTTCTAGAAGTTTCTCCTGTGCATGGAGTTCATCGTGTATAGTAAGCCCAACAGATCCAATTCTTTGGACGCTTTCACTTAACTCATCCAGCTCTTCATCTTGTTGCCTAAACTCACCAATTAATAACATACACTCGCAATCATTCATATAATAATAATACTAATAATAAATACACATTATCTACCTGACTAAAAGCATTTGTCTATCGGATTCTGAAGAAATGAAATCATCATGATCTTTAGCAATATAATGGCTAGCTCTGTCTTGCTGACGTGGACTTGGGAGGCTCATTAGTTCTTGACGCATCCCACTAAATGTGGAAGAGCTACTGCCATTCAAGTCTGTTCCCATCACTGATTTCTTAACACTCACCACCTGAATCAAATCAATTGTGTGAATTTTTAACGTTTATATAAAAATATTAAAGAAAAAAAAAAAGAATTTACTTGAGTCCGAGCAGTTCTTGTCCATTTAAATCGTCTTTCAAGTTCGGGTTGATCGATTCCATATTTAGCAGGGTCTCTAGCTGCTACAGAAATAGCTTTCTCCAATTCATCCACCTTCCTATCAGCAAAATTGATTTTCAGCCTACATTCTTAAATCTTTAATGGAATGACAAATTCTATGTTCAGATATGCGTACCTGCCATTCAATACTCTCACAATTGGAAAGGAGTTCTTTTGTGAGTCGGGTTTGGGCCCCACTGGCTACAGGGGTGTGTTCCCATTGATGGAAAGTAGCTTGTAACGTATCAATCTGTGAAATGGATATGTTCATTTCAATGTTTCTATATAAATCAATATAACTTTGCGACAAAGAAAACGTGACTTGATTCATCGTAAATTGCAGCAAAATGAAAGCTTGAAAAACTGACTTACAGACTCTTGGATTTCTTCCTTCACAATGTAAAATGGATCTTGAGCAGAAGACATGTTGATGGTGTAATGAGATAGGAAATTTTATTTTTGAACCCAGGATATGATCATCTCCAAGATCTGAAAAAAGTAATGAGAGGTTTCAGAAATTAAATGTGTATTCAAGTATAATGCCAAGCATCTGCAGTTGTTCAAACTCTTGTTTGGAATTTAAGATGTCGTATTCATGATTTCTTACAGCATCAGGTAAATACGACTATGATCAAATTGTCATTTCGTGGTGTATTTGCATATGAATTGCATAATGATGATGTTAAATGGCCAGGCTTTCTTATTGGATGTCATATTTTACATCATTTTCCTACATTTTTTGTCATCCACTTTGGGGGTTTCATATATATCTATCGAAGATCAAGCTAATGAACACGACATCACGTTGTTGAATGTTGAAGGACCTAATCGAATAAGACCAACTATCGTCTTTCAAGTGTTAATCTAACTCCATTGATGGTCAAATGCTAACAATAAGCATGATTTCTCCTCTATATCCGTCGATGTCGTTACCAAATTTAGTTGTGAAATCCCAATCAAGCAGGATGAACGTAATCGACAACAGGAACAGAGAATTCCACTGAGATCTAATGTTAATTGTGAAATATTGGTTTTCTATAATACAATCGAGTACACGAACAGATAAGATCAGAAATTCAAATTGAATTGGAAATGCAAGCCAATCACACATGCAATCATCAAAATCAACGAAGACAATAGATGAAAGAGCGGACATATAAGTGATTTTGCGAATGTTATGGAAAACTCACCAGATTTATAACGATGAGGTATGACCGCTTACGAACCCTAAATCGGCCCTTGGATATGCCTCTGATCCTTCGGAATCACGAAACTGTTGTTAATCCTCGACGAAGCACCGACTGCGTGTTCGCCGTGATGTAAATGGAACGAAAAGTGATATTGCAAATACATCCTTCAACTATGAAACAAGTTCCAATTGTACCCAAAAAGAATCGTCGAACGGCAAATATGTATGCCATATTTTCATTTTTTAGAATTTAAAATTATAGTAAATTACATAAATGGTTCTTGTGGCTGTGAAATTTATAGGTGTAGTCCAACTTTCAAAAAGTTGATTAATTGCATTTTTGTGGTTTTTAAATCTTGCACGAATGAGCCTTCAAAACAAACAATTCAGCACTTAATTTTTTAAATATGACTATATTGCCTTTCGACTGGATCAATTACTCTTTCAAATTCATATGTTTTTTAAGTACTATGGTTTTAGAAGATTTTAATGTCGGAACTATGCTCATTGTCACAACATATTAGTGACACAGTAGTTACATGGGTCTCTATGAGTTTACATATTTAGTTTAAGATTGTATAGCAAAAATATTAAATAAAGGGAATTAATTTATTATTTATTGAAGTGCCGATAAATAATTAATAAGTTGATTTATTATATAAAGGGGCAAATCTCAAAAGGATTAATAAAGGAAATTGTTCTCCATAAACTATACTTTAAGCAAAATTTCTTTTAATACTATTTACACCATTATCAGAAAAAGTAGTTCTAATTTTTGTTGTCTGCATTCCATTCTCTAATTTTCTCCAAATCTCACCTCCACTTTTCTCCTTTTCAAAGGTGGCTGACAATAAAAAACTCCACCTTCTCTTCTCAACATGTCATCAGGCACCTTCATTCCTGATGAAGATCCCCAGTGTATGCCTGATGCCCCCATTCTTCTCCCGGAATTACACATTCCATGATCACCGGAATTCCGATTCCATTGATAAGCATACTGGTAACCTGGTTTTGGAATATTCATTGGTGTTGCCATTTCCACAGCATGAAAAGGCTCGAGACAATTGGGACAAATAAGTGTATGATTCACAAACACCTTTAGATACTCATAATGCATCTTGCATCCATGGCAAATAGTCCAAAAACTATCTAATTTAGAAGTAGAAACAAAACCCCTGTAATTCTGATTTTTCGGTCTTGTTGTTCTTCTTGTTGTTGTTCTGTTTACATAAATATGAACTCCATTGATACCAGAAGCTTGTGATGAATTCCTCCTTTGGTTATATGCTAATCTTTTAGTCTTATCAGACAACAAATTCCATGCTTCTGAAACTATCTTGAATGCACCATCTGCACCTACTGATTTGTTTTTATCAGGATGGAGTATGAGGACAAGTTTCCTGTATTGTTTCTTGATTGTTTCATCATATCATCAGATGGCTTTACATCAAGAACCTTATACCAATCTGACTCTCCATTTATTTTGTTCTCAGAGGAGATGTAGACATCAAGAGTGATTAGCATATGAGATATACCATCGAGTAATGGATTTAGGGTTTGAGCTTTTAAAGTGAATTTCTTGGCACCTGTGTAATCTTTATCAGCAAACTTCTTTTCTGCAATTGTTTTTGCCCTCGTAGCTTCATCTCTATTGCACTCCATGAGCTTCAAAGGTGTATTTTGTGTTTCTTCACTCGTTATCTGCATGGTTTACCATCATTAATCACTAACTTCCAGAATCATGAATCTCATTGGGTTTAATAGCATATTATTGTTCTTAATTTCCACAAGCAAACAATGATCAGAGGAAGAGGATTGCAATTAGGTTTGTACGTTCTCTAACGATCATGTTTAAACTTTCAAATGAAGCGATAAAGAAGAATTCCATGGCGCCATCGATTATCATCAAAATTATAGTTGACGGAATTAACAAAGCCGCTAATTAACATAACAAGCGATCACAACGAATTTGAAACTCTAAGAAATCGTAAAAACTGGTGATTAATTCAAAAAGTCGACCTGATGAAGATAAAGAGGTAGTTAACTGATGACATTCGACATCAAAAATCGAAAATTGAGATTGAAATCGAAACCCTAGACTTCTGAATAACATGATTACGTTCATTAAAAAGAGAAGGCAATATTTACCAGTTAAAACGGGACTGATTGATGAAGAAATTCAAATCACTATAAGATTTGATCTTGTTTGGGCATCATCGATTTCACGTTCAAATCGAAAAGTAGACCATATTGTGATCAAAACCCATAGAAATATATATTTATGATTTTGATCTATAAACCCTAAGACCGCTGGTTCGCCAGAGGGCAATAAATATGAGATGTAAACTTTTGAAATATTCTTATTTATTCACTAAAATAATAATATAAAGGAAATATTTAATATTTATCTGGGAAAAACTGTACTCTCCGGCCTCTTAATCGAGTTAGTCATAAAATATATTTTTTTAGTCAATTAAGTTCCGAATACCAGGTTCAATTTAACCAATTGATCCGGTCAACAGATCATCTAACTTTTAAAAGTACATTTTTGGCTCAAATTTCAAATTTTCTAAAAATTTGGTTCAAAATTTACACTTTTGGTCTGTATTTTAATTTTTTTTATAAATTTGATCCAAAATTTATCCGTTTTACCCAAATTTTACAATTTTATTATGAATTCATCCTGACTTTGGTTTTTTTTACAACTTTTTTTCTCAAAAATTTGTTTTTAATATGTTTTTTCTTTATAAACTCATATTTATACAAAAAAAGTATATATATTTTCACATAAAAATCTTATTTTTTTCTATATAAAAACTTTTTTTAAAAAGTTTTTGTATATGAAATATCTACATATAAAAATAGGTTTGTATTATTTGTATGGTTTCTCTCAAAAAATCAATTAAGAAATTAAATGTAATCCTAAATTATACTATCAAATTATAGTTTGTCAAAAACTAATTACACTAATTTTAATATTATTTATTTGTTCTTTAATCACATTTATAGAACAAATAATGTCACTTCTTAATTGTAGTTCATAGAAAAAAACTATTTTAATAAAAAAATTCGACATCATGCTTTTGAGTAAGTTGTGATACTTTTCTTTTGAAGCTCAACTCAAGCATGTTTCAGTTGTTTGAGTAATTTTTTTAACCAAACTCATGTGTAAATTCTTTAGCACTTTAGTTAAAGAATTCTATTGTGTTATTGATAGTTATAATATTTTATATATTTATGTTGCTATTGTATTTTTGGTCATTTCTCACTCCCCTAAAAACATGTTTATCGATAATAAGTTGCAACCGGTATTCCATATAATAGATATTAAAAAATAAAGGAAATACAAGATTATAAATAATCAAAGTAAGAAGAGGTTGATTGGCAATAAAAAATCACAACCTAGATCGAACACGTGCCATGAATGGATATGTTTTATTTAGATAATATATTTATTAAAAAGTTATAAAAAAATATATCAAAGTTATTATTTTAACTTTTTCTTAAAAAATTCTTACGAAAAAAATATAATATTATTATATTATATATATTTTACTAGTTTAAACTTTCATATAAATGTGATTAAAGAACAAATAATCCAAACCTATTTTTATAATTTAGGGTTACTTTTAATTTTTTTAATTGACTTTTTAAGAGATATCACACAAATAATCCAAACCTGTTTTAATAACTAGATATTTTATATACAAAAAACTTTTAAAAAAGGTTTTAATATAGAAAAAACAAGATTTTTATATGAAAATATGTTTTTTTTTATAAATATGAGTTTATAAAGAAAAACATATTAGAAACAAATTTTTGAGAATAAAAGTTGTAAAACAAGCTAAAGTTAGGATGAATTCATAATAAAATTCTAAAATTTGTACAAAAAGGTTAAATTTTGGACCAAATTTGTAAAATAATTTAAAATTTGGGCCAAAAGTGTAAATTTTAGACCACATTTGTAATAAATTTTGAAATCTAGGCAAAAAATGTAATTTTTGAAAGTTGGATGACCGGATCAAAGGGTTAAATTGAATACGATTATTGGTATTTGAGACTTAATTGAATAAATATATATATATATATATATATATATATATAATATATATATATATATATATATATATATATATATATATATATATATAATGACTAAATCATTATGAGGCTAATATGTAGGGATTTTATTGCAGTTTTCACTTTATATGGAATATAATAAAATATTTTTTAAGTCTTAAATGAAATTACAAAAACGTTAATTTAAGTTTAAATCGTAACAATTAAGTTCATGAATTTTTATTTTTCTCATTTCCCTTTTTACAACTTTCAAATCGTTACCATTCAGTCTTTTATCAAGATGTTATTTATTTTTTGTCTGCAGTTCTTTTTGCCATCTTCTATCTAAGCCGCGCGGACATTAATCTTCACAGACTGTTTGTTTTTTTGAAGACTGTTGGCATAAAAATGTCTGCGCGCCATAGATGTAGACCAGCGTCTTCTAACATCTTTTAACCTGAAAAACACATATATATTTATTACAATAATTGTTGTTCAAGTTGTTTATATAAACATTATAAAAAATCATAATATATTCATATATTTTTTGTGCTAAATTTTATAAAACAATATTTACTACAGTATCGTTAATTTCTTGGGAAAATATTTATGATACTTTTTTAATTGATTTAATTGAAAAAATCGAATCTATTTCCATCCATTTATGTATCAAAAATTTTGATTCCTAATTATAATGTTTAGATATAACTTTGCGACCAAAATTGTTGGTTTTTATCTAATATATACGTTAATTCGTATCACATGCAACCTATTGGATCTAAGTTTTCTCTAATGAATGTTATAATCTATGAATATCAAAGAACCCTATGGAAGACCTAGTTTAATCAAAATTCATAAGAGAGTTAGGGTTTACATACCTTTTGATTATTCTTGTAAATAACCAATGAAATCCTTCTTAAAAAGCTATTAGAAGCAAGCACCAGAAATATCGAGTCTCTGATGCTTCACACCCAAGCTCTAGAAACTACGGAAACTTGAAGAGAAAGAGGAGAGATGATGATTTTCAGCTATTCTCTTTAGAGGAGGAGTGGTCGAAAATATGAAGGGTTAAGGCCCTATTTATAGTTGCACTAGGAAACCTGGAAACTCTAATTTGAATATAATACTATTATTTCAAATTAGGTAATTATCTAGTCTCCTAATTATCTTCAAGGGATACTCTAGAAACCCTGGAATATACTTCAAAATTGTCCACCACTTGTGGAAGTTGTGGAAACACTTTTGCTCAACTACCGAACAAATACAACTTAGATCCTTATACTTTTAATTAATCAATTAATCCCAAAATTAATTCTAATTAACTTTTGATTAATTGTTAATTAAATAATAATAATTCTAATTAATATATTAATTATATTTGACCCAACTCATCGAGTGCAGCTAGTGAATCATCGAGTTCTTTCAGAACTCAGAAAACCGGGAAAAACTCTAACTAACTCGTCGAGTTATCTTATCAACTCACTTAGTGTATTTAGAATACAGAAAGTGGGAAAACCCTGATGGGTTTTGGTCATAAGACATCCTATGTGCTCATACAAACCCTAATGCTTGGATCTAGGTTTCTCTATTGTACATGCTTTGAATCCAAGACTATAAACCCTAATTCTAGCATACATATAATCATATTAACATGAGAATAAGTTTATAGTGTTACCTTGATTGTTATGTAGCAATAACAATCACAAATCTCCTTGAATTGACTTTGGAATGCTTAGAGTCACAAGTGTCACTCCTCTAATGGTTCACAAACACCATAAGCAAATGGAGAAGGTATAAAGAAAGAGGTAAGAGGTTAGAATTCGTATCTAGGACCTCTTGGGAAGGGATACACGAATTCATGGCCCTAGGGGTGTTTATATAGGTGTAGAGATAGGGTTTCAGTCATTATCCTTATCTAGTTGATTATCCATTAAGCAACCAATAAGATAATCCTTGAATCCTTATCATACTCTAATTCTAAGGGATTTACACCTCAAATTCGTTCACCATATATATAAGATAATTCTTACCTTATTTTGTAACTATCACATAATTACAAATCAGCCCCTCTAGTTTAATTAATTACATTTGATCACAAAACTAATTCTTAATTAATTATTGACCAATATTAATTAAACAAATATGATTTCTCCTTTAATATATTATTCTTATAACATATTAATAAATCATATTATCCTCTCTCTCTTTATTCATTTCTCCAATCAAGTTGCTTTGGTGAAGGCAACCCAAAAGGACCATGCACCATCGGGTCAAGTACATACCAAAATAGTTATGGACTTAGACACTAATCCAACAAACCCAACTCAACTCCTCGAGTTGGCTAAGTAACTCATCGAGTTCCTTCATCCTTTTCATATTCATTCCTTTTCAGTCAAATCCAAAGCTCCAAACTACAGATCTAGTCCCATATGGTTAAGATACTGTTGGATAAGGTGTCTAAGTCCATAACTTATTTGGTATATACTTGACCCGACCCGGCATGGTCCATTTGGGTTGCACTTCACCCGAACTATTTATGGATAATTTTATGAGAGTTATACACATATGATTATTAATATATTATAAGTTATAATATATTAATATGAAGTCATGTTATTTAATTAGTCTTAGTCTTAAATTAATTATGAATTAATTTATAGATTAAAAGGAAGACTAATTAGATTGTGGGCTATTGGTTTTATATGGTGTGGGCTAACACTCATTTGTTAATGGGCTAGGCTTGTATGGAAGTCCATGGATGATCCATGGAGCTTTTAACCCATGGATCCTTGGAAAAGGAAAGGTCATGGGTTATTAGGGTTTCACCCTAATCATGTACACTATATAAGCATGCTTATGTTGCATGAAATAGCCACTAGTGTGTGTGTTTGTGTGTGGCCGAAATTATAGTGTGTATACACTCTCTCAAAGTTTTCCAAGAGTTTGTGGTGATTTGTGATTCCATTTGAGGCATTCACACTATTGGTGCTTGGCCCTCAAACTCCTTAAGAATCAAACTCATCAAAAAGGTATGTAATCTCATCTAATTCTTTTATGTTTAAAAGTACCCCATGCCATGTTAGATAGGTTATGAACCTTGGAAAATTATTATTTTGCATGTATTTAGACAAACATAGATCCAAGGTTTATTAGGGTTGCATGCACACTTAGGAAGTGTTAGATTGCTCAAAACCCAACAGTGGTATCAGAGCCTAGGCTTGCTTGTTTGATACTTGATGCAAAATAGTGAAAAAAGTCGAAATTTTTGTTGTCTGCATGATGGACTCGCCGAGTCCAAGGC